GGTGAACTAAAGGTGAACATCAACAGTTATAACTCAACATGTAAGTTAACACTGACCAGATCAGAACAGTACAGCCACACCATATAACAGACGAATCACAGAGCCCACAGACCACATACACACAGCCCATCCAATCAACCACTTCCAGACTCAGTTCTAAATCAGCCATATCGCTTCCGTCATTGAAGTTTACTCAAACCATAATGTCTCACTTTGGTAAAGCAAACCAACCAATTCCATTTGGGATGGAGTCAGTTTTTTTTTAGCTGGGTACCAGTATTTTCAGATGGAAAATTGTGGCAATCCGGCCCATCACTTGTGTTCTACGGCCATGGTACAGTGTGCGGACTACATGTATTTCACTTCTGAACAGCCACAATTTTCAATCTGAAAGAAAACAAGAAGCCATAGGCGACAATTCTCCGTGAAGTATTATATATTGCAACAAAAAGAAGTAGCCATTGGCGACAATTCTCTGTGAAGTGTGATAAATCGAACAAAGAAAAATTGTTTAAACGCGCGTCGGCTCAGTCATCTTAAGACGCAACAACCAATCAGAGATGCGAGATGCCTACACGTGACGCGGGAAGGGCGCGCGATGCCCGAAATATTTTTGCGTCAATATTCAGCGCCGTGATTCAAGAGATTAATACCCGGAAACAATTTTTTTCTTGTTTTGAACGCATTAACATGCATTTACGCTAATCTAGTATGATTCAGGGTTACTTTTTTTTTAACCTGCCATGGCCAGATTATCTAAAGATGTGTGTATTGTGTGTACAATCTATAGAAAGAGAAATGTACATCAGGTCCGATCATCCGATTTTCACGTTTCGGTTTTTTGGACTCGGTTCATGAACGTATTTTGGTTTGGCTCCTGGAATGTGCAAAAAAATGACTCCCGGGACTGTCTACAGGGAACACTCGCACATTCGCGGTGTATCAGGACAGCGCGACTGGTCGTCATTAGCGCAGTAACAGTTGCATAAACGGACGAAACCATTTCAAAGAAATGGGGATGTTTCGAAAATAAGCATTTACTCCAATATCAAAACAGCTACGGTAAAAATAAAAAGACGTGCATCATCCCGGACATAATGCAACACCACATGCGAAATTACACAGAAATGCGACGTACGGAAGAATGCGTTTTGGCTGCGAACATCTTCCAAAAAACTTGGCATCTCTTAACCATGGGCAAAAACATCTGGAACCACTTATAAAAACCACCCCGTATCTGCATGAACTTTTTTGAACCCCACTGCTATTCCAAACAACGCGTTTTTCTGGACCATTCCAATTCGCCTCGTAATTGTAGGGGTGCGTCTGCGATATTACATTGACCGCGAAAGCAGCAACGGCAAAAATACACATTCGTGCATCAACACGGGCATGCCCGCAGACGGCGTATAAAATTGCGTGCCGATTACACAAAGAGAACCCAGTGTTTTGACTGCGAACATGAAAAATCAGCCGATTACAACACTCCGTCCGGAGGTCCTGACCTCCTTCACGGAGTAAAAAAATTTAAAAACCATCCCACATGGAATTGGAGGGTTTGTTTAGAAAGATGTTGTGGTGTGGGTAAGGCTGATTTGATCTGAGTGTTGAAGATGTTGATAGGACGGAGCGACACAGAGGGAAGTGGAACAACTGTTAGTGACATACAGCTGGGAGCAGGTGCAGGCGCTGCCCAGGACCGGGGTCGGGAACCTGACAGCCGCACGCAGGGTAGAGAAACATCAGGTGTGCCATTAGTACAACAGTGGCCATGTCAGGAGAGCACTCTTAACACACAGGTACATGTACAGGAACAGTCTGTACAAGCATTATGCATTTAATTTTTCACAGGAAGGCCATAAATTAGATTCGTACAGCTCTCATTACATATATGAAGGTAAAAGGCATTGGGTTGTTAATCAACTGTGTCTAGGGCACAGTATTGGAAAGGAGTCCATCATTCTCCAACAGTGGCCACGTCAGGATTTATCTAATATCTATATCATCATAACACAGCTGGGTAGCCGCTTAAACTGGATTTCTAAGAGGGCCCAGTATATACAGAAACAAGACATGTTACATTCAGTGTGGTAGAGACAAAGGTGGACAACATTCAACTGTATAAATGGGATTTAAAACAAAAACATCAACCCTAAACTCAGTCAAACATGAAAGCAAGCTTGTGGAATGATCATGACTTGTGGTCTATGGTGTAACTGCTTCTTAAGTGTTTTTCTTTAGTTCCTGAATTTGAAAAGCTTTTGAATGTCAGCAAAACAATATGTAGACACATACGTGTATCTTAAGGTTTACTGCATGTAGACAATGAGATTGATTGTTGTATGCTGTGTCTGTAAGAAGAATGGAAGACTGTACCTGGTTTGATGGCCCTCCGTGTGGGCACATTAAAACTGGGAGGAACCTTGTCACTGATCACCTCCACACACTGGCTGGGGAAGAAGCCAACCTAAAAGAAACAAGTGCAACATCTTAACATGTAACCTCCATTGATATTAATCTATAAACATTTAATATACAAGAATATACATATAGCTATATATTGGAAAACAGTAACCTACAAGTCATTCTTAGATCCTTGTATGCAGTTGGTTCTGTCACAGCCTGTTTAAAAATCATGTGACATGAAAAATCTCACCACAACCTATGATGAATGACTTCACCATTATGCAAAACAAACATGCACAAAACTGTCTAAAGACATGACTGGACCTACTTCAAAGCCTTTCTTCCCTCTCCACCATAAGGTCTCATGGGTAGGCGGCATGTCAATCACTGATACAATATCTCCCACCTGTAGGCATCAAACAAGAAACAGGGTACTGTTAATAGTGAACTTTCACAGTGATTCTATTTCATGATAGGAGGAAAGGGAGGTTTTCACTGTGCAACTTTGAAATAACATGAATTAAAACACAGCAAAAACATAATTTTTCCTACTACCATAACTGATTTCCATAGTAACAGAAAATCCTGAGATCCTATTGGACTGGTTTTCATAGTGGTAAAGAATCCTGGTCTTCTATTGGTTAATTGTTCTCAGTTCTTTTGATGAGTTTGAGGTATACGTTTGTATGGTCACTCTGTCAAGGGAGGATCAATCAGCTCAACATTTCTTACACTGACATGTCCCACTCACTGCATGTTATACTTGTAGTAATCAGTTGTACCATCTCACCTCGAGTGAAATTTCGTCGGAAGCCTGAGCAGCGTATCTTTTGATGACATGCGCTGCAGCAACAGCAGGGACGTTGATGGCACACTCATCTCGCGCAATCAGATGGTTTCCTCTGTTGTCCAACTGGAGACACAAAAGTCATAACGATTTCAGGACAATACATGTGTACGTGTAATTTATATACAATTTGGTATTTAAGCTACCTATCCACATGCCTCAAATGCTAAAAATCCATTGCCTGTTTCCTGAGTTATATTACCTTAAAAGTCCAAAGAAAACAGCCACTGCAGTTTGGAACGAAGCTGCTAGGGGGATCATACATACAACACTTTTTCCCAGCTACAAAAGCTACCAAAACCACCCCCCAAAACAAGAGCATATAAAGCATATCCAGAACGGAACATACAAAAATCAGTAGTAAAGTTCTGCAGCAGTACCAAGGAAAGCCACAAGGAAAGCCACAAAATCAACCTTGACCTTACATATACTATACATTGTAGCTAGTCTTTTCAAGACCTGCACAAATTCCAAGTGTTATCACAATACCCACACATAGCTTCTTGAGTTGTCATAACTACAGTATTCATAATCAGACACACACACTAAAAACTACACCTCTGACAGATTTAGTCCTCCACAGAGGTAAGAGACTGACCTCCCCACTCCCCTTCTCCCAAGCAAACATCATCTTCCCCTCCACCATTATCTTACCACAGACCCTGCCATAGATCTACTTCCCATCGCCCACTGAGGTGAACAGACTCGTGCAGGCACCTGCTGTGTCTGAGCTGAACAGGAACGACACCACCTGTCCTCACGATCCCTCTCATCTACAATAATTACCCCATCATTACCGCTGCCAAGAAGGTTATGTTTTTCAGATACCATTCACTTCCTGGAGTTCTGGATGGATCCCTATTATATTTGTTGTGTGGCAAAATGTATGCGAAACGAAGGACTGGTCAAGAATTATGGAACATCTGGTGGCTTCCTGTGGTAGTGCAGCAGTATTTCTGGTTTTGATTTCTCGTGCTCTGGACATGCTACAGTCATGATTTTTTTATTGTAGATACTTCTTGGCCTTGTAATGGTATAGATATTGGCCCCTGAACAGCTTTTTTTAACTACGGAGGCAATATGTGTTTGAAACTTGGAAGGTGATAACTCTGGAAGTGGTTGATGGATTGTCATGATTCTTAGCATGATACATAGCTTACATGATGACTGACATAATTAAATAATTATGCAAATCATGAGCTAATTAGCCTTTTATTTGTAAGTCTACACATCTTGTAATCTGACTAGAATGTGCATTGTGTCTTCTTTTGTGTCCGCAGAAGTGTTCACCAGAAGAGTGCTCTCACCTCCAGCCAGTTCAGAACTGGTCCACAGTTCAGCAGGTTGCCGGTGATTTGGGACAGTCGAGCCAGGTACCTGGACAGAACCTGCTTGACCGCCTGGGACACGCAGGGGAGGGGAGAAACATGTTAATAACAACCTACTCCTGCTGGTGAGTCATCACTAGTACTCCAAATGACATGGTGAACAAGTAATTACTCACAGTAACATAGTTTCACCCTCACAGAAAGGCTCGGTACTGACACATAATTATTGCTTTTTAATAATTACTTCCGTGCATATGAAAGTATTGTTTTGGGCTGCTGAGCTGTGGGATTCTGCATTAAGTTTTCAGAATCATGTATTCATTGACAAATAATCTATTAAAAAATATTACTCATCTCCCTCCTCTAAACACAACAACCTAGTGTTACTGTCAAACTAAATGGGATTGTGTATATTGAGAAAAGGAAACAATGTGTGACCCTTTCTTGACAATATGGGTCTCCACTAGAAGTTCCATAAGGGTCTCCAATAGCAGTTCCCCTGGACTTCTTTACCTGTATGTTCTCCTTCATGGCCTCGCCCTTGGGCAGCTCGGTGAGCTGGCTGAACTTCCTGTCGTAGATACAGCTGTGCAGGTGTTTGTCCAAGAAACGGAAGTCCTCATAGCTGTGCTGAACAGTCCAGGACTTACCCTGAAAATCAAACAGTTAAGCATTTCCTTCAATTATAGACTGCAAATCATATGAAATCATACAGAAAACTGGATCTCTCTGGAAAAATTTGCCTAGGCCAAGAAATTGTTAAAAAGATTATTAAACAGATGATCTATTTTGTGTACATTAATCGTCCAAAGCATAGGTACCTCCTAACCAAAGAAACTGAAGTGGTATGGCCATGTGTCACCTTCAAGTAGCCAAAACTATCATGCAAGGTATAGTTCAGGGAAGGAGAGAGAGGGATAGGCAATGGAAAATGTAGTGTTATCGGTTATAATGTTGTGGTAAGAAGTCACTGCAAAAACTGCAAAAATAAAATAAAACTAAAACATTTCACAACTTTAAGTATTTGCATTCTGTCATTTTCAGTTCCATTTGATGCATACGTACCTGACACTCCACGGAGACCAGGTACAGAGTGTCCTTGTGAGGCTCAGGGATACCGTTGTGTTTGAGGGAGTCTGGACTTTCATCCCCCATAGCAACCTGCCAAATAACATCCATACAGTCAAGCTTTTGATGTACAAAAAAACAGCAATATTTCATGCAAATAAGTAGTGACTATCATTTTCTTTACTGTTACTGCATTGAAAAAGAATATTTACCTGGAGTTGACCAATGTCCACATACTCATAGTGGAAGTGGGCACAGTCCTCTATCTTAGGGAATCGAATACTGCCTTCATGGATCCTGTAGTAAAAAGGCACTGGTGAGGATAACTTACAAATACCTATTAGCATCATTGACAATCCTGAGGATGTAACATCCACTATCACAATTCTGCTAGGTGGTCTAACACAGCCACATTACAGAAATGGCATTATGGCCTTACCAAGAATATATTGAATATGTTGAAATTGAACGTACCGTTTGATTGTCTTGACTTTTATAGACGTAGGACGAGGAACTGTCACACTGCATCTCTGAGGACTTCCATCAACTGTATCAGAGCCAGCCTGGGGGAACATACGACATAACTGTCACTCTACACACAGAAACAAGAAAATCGGACTTCCAGGAAGTATTTTCAATCGTCGTGACTTCATTTCCTGTGCCTGACCTTTCGACTTCCAGCCTGTCATTCGGTCAAAATTGCCATGCTATTGTATCATTGGTTGAAATGCTGACGAACAGCCAGGATTGGTATACCAGTACTTCTCTTTGCAGCTCTGAAACAGTTAGTACACCTTATCCAGCCAAAGAGCTTTCTCCACACCAGCGTTACAAGCAGGGTTAGATGTCAGACCACAGCCGACTGCCACCAGTTGATACATGGGAATATTTACCCACGATCCATGTTGAATGTAGTGAGTCAGAGGAGAATCACCATCGTCATCAAAATACACTCCTGTGGCGCGCGTGGCTCTTTTAGTTGTGGTACTGGTGCACGGATTCGGCTGCAAGGCCGGCTCCTCAAACAACTCAAAACTACCCATAATTCTGGTCAGGCCAACAAGTTCCTCAGGGTTCTGCAAACAAACCCCAATGGCATTGATATCTTGAAATCAAATCTTTGATAGGCAACTTTCAACATCAGTTAAGTAACAACTTCTATCTAGTCACATAATATACCAGGGTATATGTCAGCGATCAATGGTTTTGATATTTATTGATAGATTACTAACAGAAGTCCAATGGCCTTATGACATAATCTGATTATATTACAGTGAATGACCTGTCACACGTAACCTTTGCACATCTAACTGCAAGCATTATTTCAAGCTATCTAGTATTAAGGATGCCCATGTACTGTACTCGTACCCACAATGCATTATAGTTCTAGGGATAAACTAACTTTGGGACACCTCAATCCTGGGTTGATAAATTTGATACTTGATCATTGATGGCATGACTATTTCTAAATGCTATTTTCTGAGCTGGTATGAGATATCTAAGTAGTGTGTTGAAGTACAATACAATAAGTCATAGTAACCCTTAAATGGGAATGTGGACAAGAATCTAAGGAATGTCCCACTGTGTTTGCGGGAGCCACAGCTCTGGTTCATGTTCACTGTGCAGGTTTTGTCTGACAGGAAAATTCCTGACATCGCGGGTTACATGCCATTTTTTTGGATATGACGTCACAGGTCTTTGTGTACGATGTCACAGAATTTACAGAAACAGTCTAGGCTTCTTTCATTGTCACCTAATTTTTGTAACATAGCTTTTGTCAGGGTATTGCTTAGGGTACTTGGTTCACATGCTGTGAAGTAGTATGCATATTTTACTTTTTAAGACACTAGGTTTTTTATCTTTTAGAAAACAAACCATCCTCCCAATTTTAGTATTGTATTGATGGCACATGTACTACTAGTACTAGAAGTTCCTTCAGAAATTATCTATGTAGGAAGAGTAACGCCATTCTACGTGGCCTTAGCGCGTACCAGTCCTGTTTACTAGTCTTCACATCCAGTGTTCCTGCTAGGACTAGGAGGCATTTTGGCGTCTTTGGACTTCCTTCTTCTGTGACTGTTGCAGAGTAAATTTACTCAGAGAAGCTGTTTGGACTTCACATGTACCTGATGTGGTCTTTGTTTGAGACGTCACTAGCACTGACAAACAATACATGATTTACATCAACAGAGTAAGCTCTACAGTGTCTTTGCATGTCTCCAAATCTTTGATATACAATGTACATGGTAATAATATTTTACCTCAAGGGACTGAAGCATTGTTGCTTTTATTTCAAGTACAAAAGTATTGTTTTGGGTGGCTCACTATGGATGAGCTGTGAGTTTGTGTATACTGTTTGTCCATAGTAGGTTGACAGCACATGGGTGGAGGGAAAATTGATAGACAGAATGACAGGTTTCAGAATATGAGTGGGAGCCAAAGGACATTACAAGGAAATTCAGGAAGCCAAGGACTGCATATTTCCACGACACCTGAAATTTCCAATTTTGAGCTTGTTTATGTTTGTGTGCGCGCGTGTGTATGTGTGTCTGTGCATGTGTCTGTATGTGTATGTCTGTGTGTGTGTGTGTGGGTGTATGTGTGTGTATGTGTAAGAGAGAGAGAGAGTGTGTGTGTGTTTATGTATGTGTGTGTTTCTGTTATTCCTGATGCAGTGTTCACCATTCAGTTATCAGTGCTGCTATTTTATGTGTGGAACTTTAACAGTTCAAGGGTGAACACAAATTAAAGCAGTAAGTCTGTTATCTTAGTCTCTGAGGTAGCCTTGTTATAATTTAGAGAATTTTGTTCCTTCAAAACAAGCATGTTTCACATTTGACACTATTACACATTGTCATGTAAATACTAGCCATTACACTCGTTGAAAACAAACATAATGGTCCTCAATTTAGCATGGTGGTTGCAAATTATAGCGTGATGGCCCGACACTCTAAAATACACAAACTAGAACTCTGGGTCACTGTTGTAGAAGTATTTTCTACCCTAAATTTGTCTAAAAGACCAGACATTTCTTACCTGACTAGTTGGTTCTGTACTCTCTGGCTGGGCCTGTACAGCAATACAGTGGCCCATCTTGCTGGTAATTCCTATGAACCCTGACAGTAGTACTTATCATGTCATAACACCCTTACAATAGTCAACCTGTCTCCATTTTGCATATCTCACATAAGGTACGATGGCGTCCTACTTACGCGCTCTCGTTGTGGCACGACTGCGGCCTGGGGCCTGGGGTGCACTTGCCCCTCCTGGTCCATTGGTCAGTTGTTGCCCCCTCACACACGTGGCGCACTGCTGTGTTGACCCCAGAGGCCTTCTGTAGAAGAGACAACAGACAAGTCAAATTGACTTAGCATTCCAGCAACTGTAGGCACAGGGAAGGAGACACAGAAATATGTTTATAAGGCCACTTCAATTCAACTTCCTGGTTCTCAGATTAGCCTGCTTAAAAAAAAGTATGCGAACCATTTAGCTTCTGATCATCAACAACTGAAGAAAGTCCTTGTCTTCCTGTTCAATGTATTGATGCATTAATATGGATTGATGCAGTGAGAATTACATTTTGTTCTTAAGTTATGCACTTATGCGGCCCCTGACCTAGCCCTTGAACACTTCAAAAGCAGCCCTGGCCATTAGTGTAATATCATACGGTGCACCCCAAAATTTTTTGTGCACCCAAATTAGTTAGGTTGTCTGTACCAGTGCACCTATTCCCAAAAATGAATTTCGAGCCCTGAAATGCCAGGACAGAGGGCACACACCAGTCCCTGACCCCTGTTGACCTTTCCAGCTGTTGCCATGCCAGCAGCTCCATGGAGTTTGACATACCATCTACGTGCAAGATGACGCTCTTTGCAGCGCAGTGGCAAGAGGGTCCTTTTTGACACATTAGGGTAAGAAATATTTTAATCTACATGATACAATGAATCATATAATGTTATATGAAAGAACCTCAATATGTACAAAATCTAAATCATATTCAACAGATACAGTCATGGATACTTACTGATAGTATTTTACCTATATTATGAACTGATGATAGTAGAACTATATAGTAGACATACAACGTTTCATTGTGTCTCTCCTCAATACTGTATACTATTGTTTCGACTTTTCATGTAAAAATTGCACAAGATTAATGTAACTTAATCTTATACAAGGCCTCACACTGTACACTGAGTCTTTTATCAATATTGTACAGCTTTGAATCTATTTGTAGATTGTCCTAGATTAATGTAATTAGGTAGTCGTCTTATCTCGTACAACACTTTGCCTCACATTACACCTGTTAAGAGCCAATTGTTGTACAATATATGTAAACTTGACATATTGCATAATCCATATCAAGACAATGAATCTTTGATGACTCATTAAAATCTGTCATGTACAATAAGTTCAGGAGAGAATTAATGTCACCTGTACCTGAGAACTACAGCCCTCCACAAGTCATGATCATGATGGCAATGGACTTTGACCTTGCTTTTCCCAACAAAGGAGTGCTACATTACACCATTAATCAGTCTCCTATGGCTGACAGCACTTACAGAGTACATGTACACATTAACATGTATGTACACATTAACTACACTTGACCCAGTGCCAGCATGGGGCCCCCTCCACAGCTACATCATAGATTTGGGGTTGGTACCAGTACTGTCTGGTACAAAACCAGTATTTCTTGCTATACCAGTCAAGGAAAATGAGGGGACTGGCTTGAGACAAATTAGGAAATATCGACACATAACCAGTCTGAGAAAATAACAATACTAGTATATGGCTAAAATAGAGCAGATTTGACTTGTATATTTTGTTACATCTCTGTTTCCCCATAATATTATAACTTTCATGCCCATGTATGTTCGTTTCTGGAGGTTTTGCAGTTTCTCTTTTATAGCTGCTATCTATGAGATGTTTTAATGAAGACAGCTAAATTCAGATCAGTAATCAGGTGCTGACTACAAAGAATGTTAATTGAACTTTGAAGTTTCTCATTTCCCATAGGTAAATCTAAGGCCACACCAATTTAATTTCTTGGTTAACGGATTCGCCGCTTCATTTTTTTCTGATTTGCAAATAAAAATAAAAATTCAGAATCAACTGCAAAATGCTCATATTTTGCCCTGAACAGTTGAAAACAGTCCTTTTCTTACTATTTGTTACAATCATTCCATCTTTCAATGCAGTAGTATCATTAAAAGTTCAAAATTCATTGTTTAAATTTTGAACCAGCCTGGTGTGTTGACTTCATGGCTCCTATCGTACCATTTTGGGCCATAATAGGATGCCTAGGCCTGTTTTTATTTTTATTTTTTTTCGCCCGCCCGCTCCATTATTTTTCTAGAAAAATCCGTTAACCAAGAAATTAAATTGGTGTGGCCTAAAGGAGAACAAAACTGGACATACTTTTTAGTCTTTCATACCTTATAATTGCGCCAAGTGTGACATGTTACTGTCTTTACTGAACTGCCTGCCCTTCATCTTCCAGCCTACTGAATCTGTGCAGCATTAGAAGTCCATACATACCAGTGTCTTGACCTACATGTGACCAAACTATCATGTGCATTGATGTGGCCTGCGGTCCACATTTATACAGTGGACCTCATGATACAGTTTATCAGTGTACTTAATGCCAAGTGTTTCTTGCTGTGTTGAAATTGATCCAATGCCAAGCATACATGTACTGGATTTAGAAACTTAAATGGAGCCAATAACATATCAGAGGAAAAGTCCTCACCACGAATGAAGAAAAAAGTCCTCACCACGATTGAAGAAATATTAGTTTTTTGAACATTTGTTGGTTTATTGTTGTTCCATAAATGGTATTAGAGGAAGTGTGCAAGGAACTTGTAATAACCCTAGCGGGAAGTTGGAGTTCTCCTTGCTCCAGTAGCTGTGATAACCTTTGATCCCACTGGGGCACTCTCACTCACTTGGGTCTTTGTGCATGCCATGCATAAGAGGGCCAATAGGGGGCACCTTAGTATAAAAAGATCCTGACAAAAATGCCCCTGCAGTTCCTAAAGAAGCTCCTAAGGGGGCATAATTATACCAATTCTTCTATACCCCAAGAGCTTTCAAGTTACATTCTACCAACAAATAATTGAGACCAAGCATTTCCAAATGGAAATACATGTATGAAAACTGGACATTACACTGCACTGCAGTACTAAAGGAAAGCTACTAGGAGACCCACAATGGAGTATACATTTTTTTATGGTTTAAAGCTGAATACCATCAGACATGTGTTGTCGGAAGGGTACATACCGGTATTTGGTTTAAATGTTCATGTTCACTGAATGATACTAGTAATTTATTCAAAAGGTATTATGTATTTTGTTGGAGACTGAGAAAATGATGTAATTTGGTACTGGTATCATAAACACATAAAAGGAGCTTTGGGGTGTGTAACTGAGTACAGTACACTAACCACGTAAGATATGTGTGTAGGAGGACTCGAAAACAGTAGTGTGAAGGCTGGTTTGTCAGCAACTGTCACACTGATACATGCCACACAAGTGCATCAGGCTCAACAAACAACCCTGTACGTATACACTTACAAACCCAACAACCTCAGGTCAAAGGACTATCTTACTAGTCAGTGGTATAAATGGAGGATGGACATATAATGGAATTCAAGGAGGGGAAATGATACTTTCTCTAAAGGAAAATAAGTCAATAGAATTGGGGAAATCAAAGGCAGGTCAAGTTAAAGAAAATAAAAGAAAGATTCAAGCCAAATCAAAGACAAGAAAATTCCCATGCCCCAAGTCAAGGTCTAATAGAAAAAGTGTTCATTTCAAATGAAGGAAATGTCTTCTTCAATATGTCGTGTGTGTCAAAATATCCCTTACTGTTACGAGTATTAGAAATTTCATAATTCATATGATTAACGGTAAGTATATTAGACACAATTTCAGTGCACCAACATTCATTGTAATCATCAAATATCGAATGACAAAACGAAACTGAATACGAGCAATCACTGTTTTTGTTTACATCAATTATTGGTAGGCATATGCAAATTATTGGTAGGCAATTACCCACCTACCACCCACTTTTTGCCTCACTGGC